ATCTGAAAAGCCTCCCCAAACAAGAACGCGGACCCTCCACCATAGGGCGCCACCTGCTGAATGCAGTCAGGGAAGAGCCACTCTCTTCGGCACCTGTGTCTAGACTTGGACTCGCCTGTCTGGGTGCAGCAGGTTGAATCTGGATTCGTCCGAGAAGACCACCTGGTCCCACTGACGTCGTGTCCACCGTGAACGACTAGCAGACCACGCCCGGCGAGCTGCTTTGTGGGGCGGCGTGTCTTGGGCGCCTGGCACGGACACGAGAAGCGAACCTAACTCTACGGATACGGTTCCTCACGGGTGTCTTCGTTCACGTGGCTACCATCTATAGTTGACCACTGATGCAGTTTGCAGTGAAGTCACGACTTTCCTGACAAGGAGCCGATCGATCCTGTCGTTGGTCAAACGGGGCCGCCTTGGTCGAGGTCTGTCCTGGACCCTTCCGGTCGCTCGCCATCGTTCTTGCAGCCTCCGCCCATATGACTGACGGGTACACCCCAAGTCGACATGCAATGACTCGGAACGTGGAACCATCTTGGAGCCAGGCAAGGGCTCGGCCTCGGTCAACATCAGGCAGCAAGCGTCGTTGGACCATCGTGTTGTAATGAAACATGGCCGAAAAACGCTGGCTTATAAAGGGTTGCAAGTGAGCGATATTCACAGCCAAGACATCTGTTTAGCAGGTGCCAAGCTCGGTTTTAGCCACCAGCCCTTATGTCAAGGTTGCTGAGTCAGAGAAAAATAGCCCCATTTTCATGCTTTCCAACCATATTTCGGCATGCTCTGCGCCATCACTGTGAAGCTCGCGTGGGTAAATTTGCTGTATAGGCAAAATGTGTCTAGTCGTCAGTGCGAGTGCCAAGTTTGGTTGACTGAACTTAACGGGTTTGCGAGATATTGAAGTTTAAATTTGACAGGTGAGAACACAAGTTGTTCCTTGACTTTTTTTGTGCGAGTTTGCAAATGGTGAAACAGAAAAAAACAACAACCCGTAACCACTTCCTGAAAACCAGTTGTAACTTTTATATATATATATATACAT